AGGTACGTCCAGATACATGGGGTCAAAATTATGTGTAATTTGTTCTAGATACAATGTATTCAAGTAGATTCACATGTATCTGAGATACATAACAAATCTCTCTCGCCTCTTTCCCATCTCACTCGTATCCGAAATACATGCGAATCACACCAGATACATACAAATACATGTAGTCCCTCTTGAACGGCAAATGAATAGTTTTATATTATATTCCACCGGTATTCTAATAATAGGGATAATAAACATTGTTGTCATTTTAGATGGATTCTATAGTAAGTTCACCCATTCTCCCACAAGAATGAAAACCACATAGTTTTTGACATAGAGAATTTTGTTTTACTGATAGGACACCGTGTCAATAATTGCATTCATACTCATTTAAATGGGGGTTGCAAAATTGTCCGGACATCCTAACAACTTGTATTTTTGATCTAATTCTTAGTAGATGACCTTACTTAACATATCATATCATATTATTGGTTCAAAAAGAACATGGTCAACATTAGCATATAACTGATTAAATCACTTGTCAACTCAGACAATTTGTTCTAACAAATTAAAATGCTTTCAGCTGTCAAAATTCATTCGGAACCAAGAAAATAAAAGCGCAAACAAACAGAAATACCAACTATCCTTCTTTTTTCTTCAGCCGCATGTTTACAATATTTGCTTGTGATCCTCATTAATTTTAGCCCTGATCATTCGTTATCCCTTTACCGTTTAGACTTTGTACACCCGTTTTAGTAAGGGTATCTTGTAATTGATGAAGCAACTTAATGTGTGTATGAGTAAGGGTATCTTCTAATTGCTGAAGCAACTCCAAATGAAAGTGAATACAAAGGGGAAATGCATTAGAGTGTTGCTGGCGACACTTTTCTTCTTATTGAGCTAACAACTAAAAAGTTCACACAACTTCCCTTAGCTAACAGAAAGTTATTGAAAATGGATAGCGTGAACCTAAGACTGACAAAGCTATATCCCATTCTAATTAAGTTGTTGTCTTAAAGAGAAGAAGAAATCACTAGTGATCAGAGAAATATATAGGAGATGCTTTATTTCTTTGATTTTGCCATTTCATATACTATCGAAATATGTACCGGGCAACTCTTTCAGCAATCAAGCGAAACGACCGTCTGAGTCTCTACATCCATGTGTATCAAACTGTAGAAGATAAGTGTATCACAGAATTTCACGGTGTTCAATTAGTATGTATAGTAGGAAAACAGTGCAGCAGCCAAGATTTGCTGATATTTTTTTTTGACAGCAACTGGTCAATATATTTTTCCTGATCGTTGTGTCCATAATTGCCATGATTTGTGGCCCGTCAACTATAGCCAAACTAACTTTCTAATCATCAGATATTTATATTACCAAGCTGGACCTGAAGGTTAATTCGAAAAATAAAGAAAACAAATGTGCATCTTTTAAAGCGTGTGTTTTTAAATTTGTTTTCCCAGTAAAAGAATACGAAATTGGTGAGAATAAATAGGTGAGAAGAAGCAGGGGAAAAACGGGGAGTTAGTGTGAAGTTCTGGAAGCGATTTGGATAGTTGGTAGAAATTTGTAGTGGTGTTGGGGCATAGCTTTAAAGACAGGGGAGGAGAGTGTTGGCAGAACACATTTGTGGCGGTGTGGGTGTGTTGGACAAAAGGATAAAGAACGAACTTTGTAAAATTTGTATACAATGCAATTGATAGATTAAAAAAAATCCATTGGAATAGAAATAATCAGTAAAACAGTAGGTAGCAGGGCACATAAATTAATCACCAAAGCACGGATGTACAAATGGGTGAATTTCAAAAGAGTGCATCAATGGATCGTTACAGGAACACCAAATGTGTAGTTATGTTTGCTGAAAACAACGGACAAACCATCAGGCAAAATTGTGGCTGCACAAATTTAAAGATAGAGAGTGAGAGTCTGAGAGACCGTTTATTGCATTTGTATCTGTGGAATCTTCTATGCCATTGATAGCTTCAATTTCAAGCAATCGTTTGTTGGGAATAAGAACAAAGAGTTGGTGCAATGGTCTCTTTTTATCGGAAGTTATGTGTTATTGTGATGTCTGAATATCATATCAATTATTGGATTATTAAGTATAAAGCGACATTGTTGGGAAGATGGTGGGGGCGGAAGTTGAGTGAGGAGCATACCTGATGAGCGGTGTACGTTGGTGGAGCCGTGGAGAACGCCGGGGAAGGACATGGAAGATGGTGGGCAGGAAGAGGGAGATAAAGCGGGAAAAGGAAGTAGTCGGGGGAAGACGAATAGGTGGTGAGTTTATTTATGGTGGCGGCTGTTGGTAAGAGGCACGGCGTTTGTCAAGAGCTGGTAGGTATGAAGCGAAGTGACGCTTGAGTGTGGATGTTGTGGTGCGAGGGCAAGGGTATTTTTGTCTTTGTATAAATAAAAAAGAATTTCTGGCTACGTCACCGGGTTGAAGGTTTTCTTTTATATATGATAGGGTTTTCTGGCTACGTCACCGGGGAAACAAATTCCTGAATTTAAAATTGCAAGACAGCTGGAGAACTCAAAAATCTATCTTTACCGCTTAGACAAAATAAATGCTGAGTGGTTTCGTAAGTTGAGGAAGTTTCTATCAAAGTCGACGGGGGCCTCTTGGTCTCAAGTTTCGATTCGTTTTAAAGAATGCACTGAGATTAAAATGGAACATCTGCAACAACACTATAGAGTTGGTGCTACGACCCAGGTGGATGTTTTAGAAGTGAACGTTCTATTTCAGTATATGGAGTGCTCTTCGTTTGTGGATGCTTTGTTATGGAGCTGTCTGCCTAAGAGACTCAACCTGCAACCAAGACTAAATCTGTTTACAGTTTTCAGTGATCGTTTGATGTATATGAAGAATTCTACAATCAGACCTTGGCATAGTCAATTAAAAGAAACAAAAGCTTTTGATGAAAATAATCAGTTGCTGCAACTTGGAAGTGAGCAGCTTACAGAAAGTGTCCTGCCCTCATGGGGGAGCGAGAGGAGGGGGGGCGAGAGAGCTTATTTTATACTAGATTGGTGCAGTTAAGTAGTCTCTATTTCAATTTGAATGCACTTATGCATTTCTAAATGTTGTCAGGTTGGATTTTTTTTTGCTTACCACATCTCGCGTGTTATGACGTATACATGACATGTTATGAGTCTTTTTTTTTTTTTTTTTTTTGCATAGTTCAATCGAGATTTGTTACAGTAGAACCGAGCTCGAGCATGGTATATTTCTCTTTTTCCCTTCTTCTGAGATGCTCATAAGGACTTTGAGGGCGTTTTTATTTCTCAATTATCCTACTAACAGAACAACTTAGAGTATATAGACCAGTTTTTGTATCACAAAACGGTACTTTGTACTTTCCTTTCAATGACTTTGGAATTTCACCACCAATATAGTTTGTCAAATGAATCTGGAATAGGCCCCTCTAGTCTATTATGTGCGACAGAAAGATTCGTCAATCACCTAGAGTGCTAGGAATCTTACCAGAAAAATTATTTTTTACAGATCAATGAGTGTTGCAGCCTTTAAATTTCCAATCTCAAGGGGTATTTTCCCACTTAATAAGTTGGATGAAATATTGAATTCTATGAGATCGCGAAGCTTTCAGTCAATATTGAATTCAGCATGCTGTAACCTAGATAAAGATACCTCAAACTGGTAACGTTTCCTAAGCATGGTGGCACGGAACTTGAAAGTTGATTTCCTAACAAGTATAATGCACCTAGCTAGATTCTTCAAATTGCAGATAGCATCTGGTGTTGCAGTGACAAAACGAGTAAGCTCATCCTGGGATAATGCCAGACATTGTAGTTTCTTAAGATTATCTAGGTAGTTGCTTGGTAGGTAAAGCCCTTCCAAGTTAGGAAGATGATCACATATAGTTTTTGGAAGCTTTACAGTATGATTGTGCATTGTAGTAATATTGAAGATTGATGGTGGTATAGAGCCAGTTAGCTTATTATTAACTTGCAGGTCTAGGATAGTCAGGTAACCAAGATCACCGATTTCCCGAGGGATAAAATTGTTCTGTATTCTCAACACTTCTAGTTTTGTCAGATTGGAAAGGGAAGATGGAATTTCCCCTGAAAATTGGTTGCTCGAGAAGCGTAGGTTTGATAACAAACTTAACAATGATGGAATGGATCCAGTAAAGTTATTACTTGTGATACTTATCAATTTCAACCTCTGCAAATGAGCCAGCTCTAGTGGAAAGCGTTGTAACTTATGTTGAGGGAAACAAGAAATGAGAGGTTTCCAATGTGTGGTACCATGAAGTTGCATGCTAGAAATGTCTAAAGCAGTGACTCGTGATAGAAAACTTAAAGAAGAAGATTATGAGAAATTTTCTCCACTGTGTTATGTATCTATACAACTATTTCTAGATAAAAGAAATAAACAAATGAAGTTAATTTCTGTACTATTCTAACAATAATATTCCCTTCTATGTGTGTATGTGGCATCAGAAAGTCTATTCTTACGTTAGGGCCAAATCTGTTGTTTGTATTTTATGCCTAGCCTTGGGCCTTTTATCATGTGGTCCTTTAGTGAGATCAATAATTTATAATAGGAAATTATTTCATGCCTTTTTACTAGAGATACATCTTCTTGACTTGCGCTCTATCTTTCTCAATCTTAACAGCACACATCCAACAGCCAATGCGAGGAGTGATCCAATCTCTAACAGAATATATAACCCTATAAGAACTCTTTTTCTTCTTGACTGACGATCTAAGTGCACCTGATACAAAGGACAAACTTGAAGAATCTGTTTCATAGTCATATGTTTTACAGTCTTCTAGTCTATTTATCGTGTACCAGGAAGTTCAATTGAGTTGTAATCTGAATTTTGTTGAGGCGCATTGATTTAGTGAAGATTGGAAGAAATCATTGTAGATAATGGGAAGAATTCTCAAAGTTATGCAAATACAAAAAGAAAGTCTTGTGTTGAGCATTTCAAATCTCATTTTCAACTTCCATATATCAAGAAAACGAGTTTCTTCCCACAACCAAGATAAAATACACTTAAATTCTTGTGCGAAATTGAATAACATACAAGAGAAGACTGGTAACTAAATAACATACAAGTCCGATTCCACCTAGTGCCGACTACTAACAAGCTGGACCCTTATCTTTTTGAGTGTTGAAAGAGCATCTTTCATGCTAATTCTTGCATCAGGTCTCACTAAAGTGCAGTTCAAAGCTAATTCCATGATAGATGACAGACATTGCATCTTTGCGGAAATTTGTTCATCTCCTGTCAGTACCAAATTAGAATCCACCACCTTGTGAAGTTCACCCGGAAAGGAATCACTAATCCAACGTTGTATGCTCAAGTCTCCAGTAAATATTTCATCACTTGGTCTTATTCGTGTGAACATCTCCATCATCAGGATGCCAAAACTATAAACATCACAACTCGTGGATACTATGCCATCTTGTCCATACTCTGCAATCATGGTCAAAAATTTATACCTAGGGGAAGGAATTGTTTTGAGTATTTATATGATATGAGAACTTTAAAAAGTCTTAATATACCTGGAGCAATATATCCAATGGTTGCAATTGTCCTTGTCTGAACAAAAGCCTCCCCTGCACCTAACATTTTTGCAATGCCAAAATCACTTACATGAGCAACCATTTCTTGATCTAGCAAGACATTGCTTGGCTTCAAGTCACAATGCACCACAGGTGTTGAATAGCCATTGTGAAGATAGTCCATTGCAGATGCAACATCTATCATTATAGCCAGTCTCTGCAATAAGTTCAAGAACAAGTTGTGAGAGTATAACCATTTGTCAAGTGTCCCGTTGGGCATGTATTCCAACACTAGGGCCTTGAAATCAAGATTGGAGCAGCTGGTGATGACTTTGGTCAGATTTCTGTGGCGAAGGTTCCGGAGTACCTCACATTCTATGTCAAAGCTTTTGAATGCACCCTCCAATTGCACATTGAATACCTTTGCTGCAAAAATGATACCATCCTTAAGTATCCCTTTATAAACCATGCTGAAACTCCCATTACCAAGCAAGTTGGTTTCGTTGAATCCTTCTGTTGCCTGTTCAAGTTCATAATATGAAATTCTTTCATGCCCTTTTACGAGAGACACATCCTTTTGACTTGCATTCTTCTTTGTGTTTCTCAATCTTAACACCACAATTCCAACAGTCAACATGAAGAGTGATCCAATCCCTAATAGAATATATAAACCTGCGAGCACTTTTTTTCTTCTTGATTTCTTTGTAGATTTGGTTAGGCATGGTTTTACATTAAATCGGGAGTCACCACAAAGTGCATCATTGGACAAGAAAGACTGACTGGTGACATTTGCAAAGGGACCACCAGTGGGAATTTCTCCATTGAGTTCATTGAATGACATATTTAGGTACTGGAGATACACAAGAGATTCTAATGGCTTTGGAATTTTACCACTAAGATTGTTATAGGACAAATCCAAGTACTCCAAGGACAACATTTTGCCAAATGATTCTGGAATAGGCCCCTCTAATCTATTATGTGCTAGAGAAAGATTAATCAATTTATCTATACTCCCTAGAGTACTAGGAATCTTACCAGAAAAATAATTATTTGACAGATCAACGTGTGTTGCAGCCTTCAAGTTTCCGCTCTCCAGTGGAATTTCCCCACTAAATAAATTGGATGACACATCGAATACTATGAGATCTTGAAGGTTCCCCAAGTTTGAAGGTAATCTAGAATCCAGTTTGTTGTTAGCTAGGTAAAGTTCCCTCAAACTGGTCATGTTACCTAAGCATGAGGGCACTGAACCAGAAAATTGATTATCTGACAAGAGTAATGCACCTAGATTCTTTAAGCTGCAGATAACATGTGGTATGGCTCCTTCTATCTTGTTGCTTTGTAGGGAGAGTTGTTGAAGGTTCAGCATGGCTTGCACAGATTTTGGAATATGGCCTGTTAACTCATTATTATCCAGACTCATCCTTGTAACTCTAGTAAGATTACTAATTTGTTTCGGAATGACACCCTTCAGTTTACAACCATCAGCTACAAAAATTTGCAAGGAGTTTGAGAAATTACCAACAGATGCAGGTAAAACACCATCCAACGGATTACCAGATAACGTGAGTACTCTTAGATTCCTGCAGTTTGTCAATGATGCAAGGAAGCTCAATGTTGAATCGCTGACAAAATTATCCCCCCACAAGTTAAGAATCTCAAGGTATTCTAAGTTACCAAGTGATTTAGGAATGAGACCTGTGAAACTGTTGTTGGAGAGGTCTAACATTGTGAGTCTTGAAGAATTTGAGATTGAAGCAGAGATAAAACCACTTAGATTATTTCCTCCACAAAAGAATACTTCTAGGTTGGGCATTCCACGACCTAAATCTGAAGGTAGAATACCTGAAAGCTTGTTTTGTCCAAAATCTATAATCTGCAGTGCTGACATGTTGAAAATGCTGTCAGGGATAGAGCCAGTAAGTTCATTCAGTGATAATACTAATGTTTGTAGTTTCTTAAGATCACCTAGCTCCATTGGTATCTCTCCTGTCAATTTTGGAGAAATATATGAGTACAAGTTTGGCGGAAAAGAGAAAAGGAAGAAAATTTGATACTACCTTCCAAATGCAGATCCATAAGATATAGTCCTGTAAGAGTTGTTAAGTTGGCTAGCTCTCTTGGTACAGTTCCAGCAATCTCATTTTCAGTCAATTCCAATATTTGAAGCTTTCTGCATTTCTCCAGGTTTGGTGGAATAACTCCATCTAGGGAGTTTCTACCGAGGTAAAGTCCTTCCAAGTCTGGAAGATGATCACATATAGTTATTGGAAGCTTTCCAGTAAAATTGTTGCCGCTAAGAGCAATCACTTGCATTGTAGTAATGTCAAAGATTGATGGTGGTATAGAGCCGCTAAGCTGATTATATTGCAGGTTTAGGACAATCAAGTAACGAAGATCACCAAGTTCCTGAGGGATCTCTCCTTCGAAAAAATTACTCTGTATTGACAACACTTGCAGTTTTGTCAGATTGGAAAGAGAGGATGGAATTTTACCCGAAAATTGGTTATTCGATAGGTACAAAAAGCGTAGGTTTGGTAACAAACTTAAAAATGATGGAATGGCTCCGGTGAAGTTATTGTTTTTGGCATAAAAGAATTTCAACCTCTGCAAATGAGCCAACTCTTGTGGCAAATCTCCATGGAAAGTGTTGTTATTTATATTGAGGGAAACGAGAAATGAGAGGTTTCCAAGGTGTGGAGGAATGGTACCATGAAGTTGCATGCTAGAAATGTTTAAAGCAGTGACTCGATGGTGACGGGAGCTACAAGTGATACCAATCCAGCTGCAAACCGGGACGGAAGAAGACCAGTTGCTTGCTAAGATATTGTTAGAATGAGAAGAAATGTGTGATTTAAGTGCAAGAAGAGAAGCTTCATCAGTGCTAATATTAGCAAGTAAAGTATTGGCATGTAGTAGAATGAAAAAGAGAAGAATGAAACTTCTGCCCATAATTAAGCCAAGAAGGTTTCTCAGAATAGATAATGCAAAGGAATGACATTAGAAGATATATTTAATCATATCAAATTCAATTCAGTCAACATTTAGGAAGTGTTTTTTGGTTCAGAATTTTTAGTTCAACAAGCTGTATTAGTCAAAGTCTCACAGCACTCAAAAGTCTCTGTATATTTTTCTTTTCTGTGGAAGAGAGTGAATTGAAATAAAGAAAAATAAGATTTTTATTTCATAGAATTCCAAATTCATAGAATTTTTTTTCTATTTCTTTGACTTAAAAAATATATATCTTAGAAAAGTCTCTCTATCGTTACTTATCATCTTGAGAAATAAATGAAATGACGAAAAGTCTCAACGACTTGGCGTTATCTCATTGTCACCTTTTTTCTTTTCTCATTTTTGATCGAGAGTCGAAAGTTGGAGAGAAAATTCTTTAAATGTAACAAAGATGTGTGCTGTTGTATATTTGTTAAACTAGTTTCTGGACGTCACACGTGTGTCTCATGCAATATGTTTAAATTTGTTAGAACGATTAAAATTCAATGAAAACATGTGTGTAATGAGTACTAAAATGCAACAATCTCAAATAAATGTTATGATAATAATTATAGAAAATTAAATTAAAGAAGACTAATAGAGAAATATATAAAAAAAAATAAACTGTTAGTCTGCACGACCTAATAATTTACGGATTTTAACTTTTCATCTAAGTGTGAAACTGGTTGCGTAACGTGTTCCAGCAAAGCAGTAAGGACAGTAAGTAAAAATACAGTATTTTTACGTGGAAAACACTCTGCTCAAAAGGTGTAAAAAACAATGACCTGTACCCCTACAGGATTTAACTTCACCTTCACTAAATCACTGAGCCTCCACAGAAAACAGATTACAAGCCTATGTAACCTAAGGAATTACGAACGATAATTCCCAAACTTCAACACAAACCTCCCAAGGTAGGTGTTCCCAACTCTTTAAGTCATCACAACCTAAAGACAACTAACCTAATTTAGTTTATAACTCACTGAACTAAGATTACATCAAGACTTAATCACAAAGAAAAACTCATAACACATAAACTCTGTAAAAGGACCAGGTTCTTCGATGTGTTGCTTCTATGTGTTCCTTCAGTTCGTTGGTAACACTTGCGAAGTCAATTTTTCAATTTCACTTTTTGCTCTGTCAGTGCACAATTATTCTGGATGACTTCACTTCTATTTAAGCACAATTCTTCATAGAGTTATTGTTCACTTCTGTCACGCCCCGAGCCTACACCCTGGGCGGGACCGGCACTCGGAGACCATTTTGATATAGGAAGCTAATGATACAACGTTTTACCTCACGTTGCCTGAGGACCATCCTATACCTTGTCTTGATATAGGAAGCTAATGATACAACGTTTTACCTCACGTTGCCTGAGGACCATCCTATACCTTGTCTTGATATAGGAAGCTAATGATACAACGTTTTACCTCACGTTGCCTGAGGACCATCCTATACCTTGTCTTGATATAGGAAGCTAATGATACAACGTTTTACCTCACGTTGCCTGAGGACCATCCTATACCTTGTCTTGATATAGGAAGCTAATGATACAACGTTTTACCTCACGTTGCCTGAGGACCATCCTATACCTTGTCTTGATATAGGAAGCTAATGATACAACGTTTTACCTCACGTTGCCTGAGGACCATCCTATACCTTGTCTTGATATAGGAAGCTAATGATACAACGTTTTACCTCACGTTGCCTGAGGACCATCCTATACCTTGTCTTGATATAGGAAGCTAATGATACAACGTTTTACCTCACGTTGCCTGAGGACCATCCTATACCTTGTCTTGATATAGGAAGCTAATGATACAACGTTTTACCTCACGTTGCCTGAGGACCATCCTATACCTGGTCTTGATATATGAAGCTAACTTTACTAAGTGGATCCACTAGCTTAACTTTACGGGTTCATCTAAAAAGTATGACCCGTTAACTCCCATGTTGGCTACATGGTTCTTATGGAGAGTTGAGTTTAATATGAACTCGCGTCTCCAAATCGGTGCTCGATACTACTCCCAAAATGCTTTTGACTCATAAGTGTTTCAAACACGTCTTTCTTTAAATGAGATAATTACTCAAAATCTAGCCCAAAGGCTCTTTTGGAAACATAGTTCCTTTTTCTTGAAAACTCTTTCTAAAAAGAACATCTCAAAACCATATTTTTAATATGATCATTGATGACTCGGGATATTCATACTGCTTAAACATTGATGGTATATCTAGAGACCATACTGTTTAATCATTGATGACATACTCGATTTGCCATACTAATCATGTTTTAGAAACTCTTTTGCAAAACTCATCTTTTCTCAAAAAGAGATAGTACTCAAACTTCTCAAAACTCTTTTGGAAATCTCAGTTTCCTCTCATCTTAAATGTGAAAACATTTATAAACTTCTTTGGGAATACTTAGTTCCCTAATAGCTTTTGAGAAATGAACTCAACTTACACTCTTGACTTAACTTGAGTCTTGAGACTCTTTACTTAGCTTGAAACTCTAAGCTCTTTGCTTGACTTGAAACTTGAGTCTAAAAATGAAGTTAAAACGTTCAATAAGACTCTTGAAAAGCTTGGAAGACTTGCTTGAACTTACTTCTTAACTCTTGACTTTCCTTGACTTCTAACTCTACTTGACTTCTCACTCTCCTTGAATTGAATTATGAATTCAAGGACTTGATTGATGTTTGGAAGGACCTCATGATATTTAGGAATGATTTAGGAATGATTTGGGACAGCCAAACTTAAGAAAATCTTCGAACATAATTTCTGAAAACAGTGGAGTCCGCGTCCTGTCCGCGACGTGGAGAAGATTTTTGTTCACAGAGGGAACAAGTCCGCGACGCGGACGTGCTCCTCGCAACTGCCCGACTTTCTCCTTCACGTCTCCAACTCTAAATCCTCTAACCTCAAAGGTTCCAGCCCCAATCACTTAGAACCATAAGATCCCTCAACATTCAATAGAATACCATTCAAAAACACAATCCAATCATGTCCCACAACCAACAATAAGTCCAACAACAACAACAACTAACAAATTTAACAACTTTAACAACTTTAACAACTT